TTTAAACGTGGTAAACGTAATCAAAACCCGCATTTTTTATCAAACAAATAATTATAACAAGCTTGATAAACATGGATGTAATCTAAAATGAGTACAATGTAGCCAAAGGCCTGCTCTACGTAACAATTAACAGCGCTCTTTGAAATATCATGATGAAAATTTTCAAAATTCAGTAAAGATTTGGCGTTACTTCTGAGCTGCTCAGAAAGCAATGGCGATAACATTGCAAAGACAGAGTAGATCAGAGAGCAGATACAGCTGTAAGAAAGAAGACAAAAATATGTATCAAATCGTACCTAAGTTGTCCATGGGCTGGTGTTCTGTGAGTTCTAGTAAGCGATGAAAAAAACAGACAAAACTTTCGCGACAATTCAATACTTCTGTGCTCATCTAAATCCAGAAAAAGAAAATTCATGGAAGTACCTGTATATTAGCTGATAATCTAATACTTGTTTGAATTATCAATCAATCACTGAGTCTCACAGTTTCTGCTGTAGGATTGAATTCTCACAAAGTTGATTTAATTGTATTGTTGAGAATTGTAATTTGTTGTAAGGGATCTTCCATATCTTTTACTCAGGTTCAAAATAATTATTGTTCAATCTACACGCCTACTCAAAGTATTTTTCCTCTACGAACTTTGCAACATTCTAACACTAGTTTTCTACGTCTTCGGACTATAAGGGCAGCCGATTTGAGTATAGTGACTAATATACAGGCTGTCGCACAAGTCAAGCGGCTCAGGTCTTCACGACCGTCTTGCTCTAGCCTTGCGCTCTAACGTATCTTTCAGGTATATCTTAACATGCGAGCGGTGATTAGACTGGCAAGGCAAGTGAAGATCTTGAGATGAAGGAATGAATGTTGCCTTTACCTGCTGCCTTAAAGGCAGTGTCCGGGCAAAAACTCGATTTTGAGATTTTGTGCTTACCCGGGCCTATTCGCTATGCTGAATCCGAAAATCCACATTGGAAAGCGCGAAAACGACGAAAAAGGACTCTAACACTGGAGGGAAATTAGCAAGTGGGCGGGGTCTTCCCCACTCTAAATTCGCGCTCCCAGCTTCGGGGGCGATCTTTTTGATTCCGGTTTCAAGTCATTCGTTTGCACTTGATCAGTAGTGATGTCAGGGCGGCTAACGGATTCGAGAAGATTGCTCTGGAAGCTGGAAGCGTGAATTCACAGTGGGGAAGGCCCCGCCCACTTGCTGATTTCCCTCCAGTGTTAGAGCCCTTTTTCGTCGTTTTGGCGCTCTCCAATGTGGATTTTCGGATTCAGCATAGCGAGTAGGCCCGGGTAAGCACAAAATCTCAAAATCGAGTTTTTGCCCGGACACTGCCTTTAAAGGACTGCTGGTCCTTCACATGCCTATCCAAGCTGTTTGAGGAGCAGTGGTCCGCTAAAGGGCGCCTAATAACGGCTTTTCTTCACTTATCGCATCTCAACTTCTCAGACGCGATTTCCAGAAGATAATTTAGCACTTCAAATGAGTTATGCATAAGACCTGTCATCACTATGTTCTGGCATGACTCCGACTCATGCCTCAAAAAGGGAAGCTTGCTAGCCATTCTGTCATATGATATTTCATTTGTGTGATTGGCCGATTGGGTACATACTTGTACTCAGCGTATACCAGTTGAAGTTTTCTTTTGACATGGAATGTTCAAATGAATGTACTTAAATATTCGAATATTCGAATAACTGTCTTTCAAGTTGGCTCGAATATTCGAATATTCGAATAACTGTCTTGAAAAATTTCTCGAATGAAAGAATATTCGAATAACTCATTTTTTCAAATCATTGAATGAACAAATTAGTCAAATACAGGGCCTTTTCACTTATTCAACTATTCAAATAATCGAATAATTGGACTTTCTCGAATATTCGACTATTTGAATATTCGAATAGTTGAATTTTTTCGAATAAATTATTCGAAAACGAATATTCGGTTCTAACTATAGTGGATACCAGCTGTTTTTTTCCTATCCACTGGCCTTTTGAGAAAGCGCGCAAAGAGAGGTTCAATATTCAGTGATATATAATTACCAACTCACCCCTTTACTCGTCTATGGTCTCTTACGGAAAAAGCACGCAAAAAAATTTGCCATTGATTAATGGTATATGATGCTGCTACGCGTAACTTTATCACTTCTGGGTTGTAAACTTCAAAAAGTGGGACGTAGGCCGAATAAACCAATGTAGTAGTTTAGTATAGACCGAGATTGTGCCACTACATTGTAGGAAATGCATTGAGCAACAATTCCAGTGAGTATAGGTTAGGCGAGGTGCAGAAGTGAGCATTCAAGCCCATTCATGTCACTATTTTGAGCCTGGCAAATTAGATGCTTTTTTTAGGCAAACAATGGGTATCACACGGGTATCATTCATATCCAGTTAGTTGTCGACGAAGTAAGTTATCTCCTTATAGGGGGTGTCCCAAAAGTATGTATGCACTGTTTGATCGTTGATATCTCTTTTCCCAAGAAGTCTTTTGCCTACCTCCAAGTACCATTTTGTAGAACTTGCTTCAACTTACATTCACAGTATGAAGCGGATCAATGATCGCCCTATGTTAATGTAGGGTTACGGTAGAGACTTCAAGCTTTTGAGACATTATGGGCCCTATTTTGCCTCAGAAAGCAAACAAACAACCTGAAAATTTTCCTACTAAGCTAGTTCAAGCCGATAAAATCAAACATGAAGTGTCGCACTTTAGCGCAATGCTTCCTTCATAAGTCATGCCAGATAAACCGCAATAGCTGTTTTTACAATGCTCCATAAAATCGTGATTACCCAATTGAGAAGCTTTGCAAGCTCATAAAAACTCGAGTAACAAAATCAGCGAGCGTAAAAACCCTGGTACACCACTTTTCAGATTTTCTGGAAACTTTTTTTAAAACATGGTTAATGCGCAATATAAACTGAAAATTCCTACCGTAATCCTACGGTAGTAAAGAGCGGTCGATGATTTGCTCCATACTGTAGATCTAAGTTGAACCCAGCTCAGGGCCCGGCACGAGTCGGTTTCCAGGGTTTTTGAAAACGAAGTCTCCCCTGACTTTCGGAAGTTGTACGAAATCCCCTCTGACCTACCTACTTAGGAAAAGATGAAAACAAGAAAGTTACTAGTTTGAATTAAAAAAACGTAAGATAAGAAGTGAAAATCCAGATTAGAGATGAATACTACGCATGCACAAGAGTTTGGCATTGGGGCGCGATATTTAACAAAGCGATTTATGAAGAAATTGAAGCAAAAAACAAAGGAAGGCAGTGATATGAAAATAGTTTCATGCTCAGGGATAAATTTTTGACCGGGAAATCCGTCCATGATAGAAAAATCCAAAACTGATGTAAAGTGACGAAAATATATGCTCCAGACGATCTCAGATCGTTTGGTGGCCGTCTGGAGACGATCTAATTTTGGAAAAGTTATTTCTTCATATAAGTTTTCAAATCTTTTTAGCAGTTCTTTTGCAAATAATTTTCCATTTATACAGTTCAATTTTGATGTCATTCGACTGTGTGCGCGCTGTAAACAAGCAATTTGTTCATTTTAGCCTTGCTTTTAAATCGCGCGCACTTTTCCCCATACACGATGGAGCATGTCAATCGTGTGATACCTTGTTCGAAAAGCTTGTGTTCGACCAAATGGCGCTTATTCTTGATGTTCTGCCCCGACTCGTCAAAAACGATATCTCCTTTGTTTTTTGCTCCAAAAACGAAGTCCAGCCTGCTTCCAGACGATCTATGTCGGGCCCTGACCCAGCTCTACAATCGTAACTGAAGGTGGGCAAAAGAATTCTTGGAAGAAGAGATCCCTGTATATGAAACAGAATGTCTGTTTGTTTGTTTGTCTGTGTGTACGTATGTTCCGGAAAGAAAATTTCATTTCTGAACCGATCCGAACCAAACTTTGCAAACATACACTTCAGTGCGGGGCGGGTGTTGTAGGCTACTTTTCGCTAATGATCGATATCGATTATATCGATTTTTATTCATTTTTAGTATAGTTTCACCTACGGGGCTGGAAGTTGGCACTGGGAGGCAAGCAAGCATTCTGATTACGAATACAATATTGGTTTCTGAAAATATTGATAATTTTCACTAATTTTATTAATTTTTGCAAAGTTTGACCTATAGGGCTGGGGATGGTCTAGGGGGATGAGTGAGCATGCTGATTACGAGTGCAACATTAGTTTTTGAATCGTCTGTCCGATTTTATCGATTTTCGCAAACTTTGAGTTGCAGGGCTGGGAGTTGGCATAAGGGGTGGCGCGGGAGCAGGGGGGGGGGGGGGAGGGGGGAGAAGGAGGGCACGCTGATTACGAAAACATAATGGGAACATAATGGTGAGTAGGGTCACGGGGCAGGGAAATGTGCAAAAAATCGGATAGTGAATTGACGGGACCGGGTATGCCAGCTAGTAGGAAACATGCAGAACTCAAAGAAAGTCGCTAATTAATCTAATTATTCTAGTAATCATTGACACCGTCAAGCGACGCGCGAGACGCGCGGTGATATGCTTGTTCCAGTACAAATCGCAATCATGCAGTTCTCGCAACGTGTTGGCTGCTCGCCGTGGCCGCCCAGGCACTGCCACCCGCCAGTCAATTAAGAGAGAATACATACAATAACCGGTAAGCTGAGAAACAAATGAATGCTTGATCTTTAAACGCTTTCCTTTTCATGAAACCTGTCTGCCTCCTCATCTTTTAATTTTCGCAAAAACGTGAGAAGGGAAAGATTATTTTTCGAGCAGTAATTTTTTGACCCCAACTTCGAGATCTTAAGATTTTCACCGAAGTAGTAGTCGCTTCGGAATTGACTCCCCAATTCAATTATACGAAGAAAAAAAGCTAGGGCTTGAGCATTTCTCAATAATGATTGAATACAGAAGCGTGCATAGAAAGTGTATGTAACCGCAACGGACCGATTTGCCGCGATGAACAATCAACTCTTACTTAGTCGCAGCATTTTGGAGTTTCAAAACTCTCACTTACCGATATGTCCACCGGATAAATATTGGAGATCGGGAACTTGCATTTGTTCTCGAAAGGATGAAAAGTTATTTCTTCCCCCTTATCTTCTTGCGCTCGTGATTCACCCCTGGAATGGAAGCACAATGGAAACGTCCAAGCTAAAGCACTCTGATTGAAAGCAAACATAAGAAAACAGCTCAGCTGAGCCTAACTTAACTTCAACAAGAAGTTTCCTTGGATACAATATAAAGCTGTGCGTCTGTTGTAAGTTCGTTTGTATCTCTGCATGCCTGGTTGTAAGTATGTTCCGCATAGAAAATTCGATTCCGATCCGAACCAAACTTTCACATACACTTCCGCTGTGTGTGTCGCTACTAACAGGGAAGTATACTTGGTGACTGTGGTCATTCATATTGAATTGTATATCAAAAAATGCGCCTTTGAATGCTGGTTCGAAAACTGTTTTCTATATCTGCGAAACGATAAACGAGTGGATCTATGATTATTCCTTGAGGATGAATTGCGTTACTGCGTAGGGTTAGAATCTTCAAGAGAAAATTTTCCCAACCTTTCAACTGCTGGATATGATTTAGACAATTGTGAATACAACAGTACTTCGCCTGAGATCTTTTTTAATAGCATCAAACGGTAACTAGACCAAATTCGGTGATTAATGATCCAAAAGTTCCCTAATTTTCCTAGGAGAAAGTGCATAATTTCCTTCAGAAGATTTTCGCTATCGAGCGCGGATTCAGAATCAGCGTTTCAAGATGCATCTTATGGTATACATCGCATTTCAAATGGCCACGGTGACCAAGTATCTTTCCTATCAAGCTACTTCGTTACCATGCTTTTGTCAGTTTTTTTGCAAATTTAACTACGATCACGAACACACTATTATATTTCGGAGTTCCCTGTCACCTTCATCGAAGTTATCGACTTTTTTGCAAAGTTGGAGCTTCGGGGCTGGGGCTTGGCAGAGGGGGGTAAGTGAGCACGCTGATTATGAATACATGGAATTTTTTGGAGATGTCGAGCATTTTTAGCTAATTAGTCGATTTTTTGAGAAGTTTGAGCTACTGGGCTGTGAGTTGACACAGGGGGGTAGGTGAGCATGCTGATTACGGAGGCAGGGTATGGCATATAGATTTAGGACCGGCACAAGGAGTTGCACGGAATTATAGCATGGTGATTTCTATCCTAGTGTGTTGACAAGGCCGGGCGGAGCCGGGTATGCCAGTTAGTACCAAATATTATACTTATAGTATTATGTAAAATTTTGAAAACTTGACGCAATATTCTTCCCCAAATTAGTCATCTTTCAAGACGCCAGTAGAACGACTGGCCCGTCCCAAAGCATAAATTTCTACGAACTCATGTAAGATTTGGAGTTTCATCGATGAGTACTCCTTCATCCAAAAAGCTCCATTTGGGCAAAAAAATCAATTGCTGTGCCTGTTGCCTCTCTTTTTTGAAATGAACAAACTCAATAAAAAATTACTGCGCTCCAAACCTTGGAGTTTGCATCTGCGCCATTAAGTTTTGCCCGTTTGTTCTCTTTCCTCTCCCCTTTTTTCCCTCTCTCTTCCATGCTTCGTTTTTATCCGCTTGTTGGGGTCATACCTATTCTCAACATCGCAACTAAATTAGAATTGTTCCCGCATCCTGCATTTTCGATGTCTTACTCTGCGTACGCGTCTTTATGTGTCAAATCGGACTCCATGAAATTATTGGAGACAAGGAGAGGCTTCGGTTTTTCGTTTTCTAGTAGACTAGAAGGGACTGTGCTGTGACAATATCACTTACAACGATATCATGTAAAAGGGTATGGAACAAAGTAACGCAGTACATTTTCAAATTAGTCGCCTTCTGCGCCACCATTGGGTCGTCATGGAGCATACGTTCCTGACAATTCACACATTTCTGAAATTCTCTATCCCTGCTTTTCTCTCGCGGACAAAACCAACCTTTCTGCCGAAAAACCTTCTAGTGTTTTTCGTCCCCTTTGCTGATATCGCGCTGCAATGCAATAATAGCGACTACAGCGCTCACTAAGTTTGCAAAACCATTTATATGTTACACGTTGACTTCCACAATTTATTTCAGCTCAGGAACCAAAACTGGAATTGCGGGCGTCCGCCTTGCAGGATCGCGCCTTTTCGCAATTACAATACATATATCCTATACTTTTAGAAACACACGTTTGCATCTCCTCATTCTCTTCGGTCTTTAGGTAAGCTTAAAGGCACCGTCCACCCAAAATGACCTATGAGATTTCAATGTCCAACAGTAGCGGAGCCCTCAACGGTGTAACTGCCCAACTCGCGCTGTCAGAGCTCGCTTCCAAAGCGAGAAAATCGCTTCGAAAATCCTTCGGAACGTTCGTCCAGCCCACTCAGTGATTTCGCCTAACAGGCGCAAAGTTTAAGAAACCGATCGAATCATGCGAGAGTGCGTCTCTGCCTCTGAGCCCACAGCTGGCCCGCGGCATACCGGCAGGCGCAAGGAGTGCTCGTCTACTGCGGATTCTGAAGGCCATCCAAGACTCAATAATTTAAGCTTTCGTTCAATTTTAGGCCTGGAATTGGACTCAGCATGCGTAAGAAATGCTAAAAAGGGCAAAAACTTAAGATCGAGGATACGAGTGGACGCTGCCTTTAAGCTAGCAAGGTCTCCAGCAAAGAGGAGCGCTGCTCTATATGAAGTGCTTCCGCCTAAATCCGTTTGAGAGAGGGTGTAACTAATCAAGCTTTTACTAACTGATTCCTTCATGCTTTAGTCTAGCTTCGCTACAACAATACATCAGTTTAGATAATATTGTAAGTTGTTCTATTGTTTATTTTCAACCGGAAGAGAATATTATGCTCAAAGAGGGGGAAAATGATCAAGTTTGCGAAAAGATAGCATTGTTAATTTCCAAATAGTCCAAAACTTCGTATTCGAAAAGGCAAAAGACGACCGGTGCCGGGCTTGAGAGAACATATGGTATACCGCCTGTTAGAACCCCAGCGACCACGTGCCACTCGTGCCAGCCTTGTAAGAAAGGTGCGATGACTATGTACATTGAATTGCTGGCAAAATGGTTTTATGTGAAGATCTATTTCATATGATCCCACCTCGCTCTCCCTTAAAGGCAGGTTCCCGCAAAATCATGCACACCAGATCACTACGGGTGAGGGAACTTAGGTCCCCTGACAGCCAACTGAGATGTAATTTCGGAGGTCATGAGTTGTCAATAACGATAATTAACACATCTGCGGAGCGCATGCTAGGCCCCGCCTCGATCCAGATACCTTTCGCAACCTAGCAGAGGTCCATCAGGACTCGCCCAGTGATAATGAAACGGGGATTTCAAACGAAATTGAAATGCAAAGTTCAGTATCGAAATTTCGCCAAACAAAGTGAAAACCTGGATTTAGAAGTTTTCAAGTACGCTCTTTTCAAATATGGAAATCCCATCTGCCTCAAAGCTCACCACGGACCGCTTACTAAGAATGAAACAGCAAATTTCATACAAATTGCATTTGAAAATTCAGTATTGAAGTTTCACCAAACAAAGTGAAAACCTGGACTTAGGGGTTTTCAAGTACGCTCTTTCCAAATATGTAGAGATTTTCATAAGAACATGTACAAAGTTTGTAAAAAAAATTTAATTTTTTCGTATCAAAATTCAACCAATTCAAAAAAAACACAAACAGATTTTTTAATGCAGTGCATTGTGAACGGAGTTTATTTGGATCAAACAGCCTCAGACAAGTCCATAGGATGTAACGGTAGATTACTGCGTTCAATTCTTTCATCGACTAGTCTGTGTTCTATTTCATATAATTATTTTATCTCTATATATCTATATCATATATGGCTCAGCAAATGTACTTAGATGGTCTTCTTCATAAAATCGCCCAATTTCACGTTTTTAAGCTTGTTTTGCCATGAGTAACTGCTCATTGCTACAGGCAGTAAGATCGGATTCCTGTTCACACCTCAAATTATTGTCCATGGCTGGACGAACTGTGATCATGGTGTCTCTATGTCTTTGTTCCATTCATTATCACTTACCTGAGCGCAATTTTGTTTTCATGGAATTTGCCACTGTAAAAATTTTGATACTCGGAACGGTGAAGCGTCAAAATAATTCCACTAGCGAATACGATGAAATTCTCTGATATCTACGATATGTTTTCTTTTTGAATTGGTTGAAATTTGATACAAAAAAATTGAATTTTCTTTTACAAACCTTGTACATATTCTTATGAAAAAATTCTCTACATATTTGAAAAAAGCGTACTTAAAAACCCCTAAATCCAAGTTTTCAATTTGTTTGGCGAAATTTCGATACTGAACTTTGCATTTCAATTTCGTTTGAAATCCCCGTTTCATTATCACGGGGCGCGTCCTGGTGGACCTCTGCTAGGTTGCGAGAGGTATCTGGATAGAGGCGGGGCCTATCATGCGCTCTACAGATGTGTTAATTATCGTTATTGAAAACTCATGACCTCTGAAATTACTCTCAGTTGGCTGTCAGGGGACCTAAGTTCCGTTCCCCACGATCACTACTTATTGTTTGGGCCGCATACATTAACATCCCCACCGCGGAGTTAATCGCATCTTAAAAGGAAGCTTCATATCCTGAAATTCTGAATATTTCATGTCTAATTCGTAAGTATTCCTACTGTCCTTCATCTCAGACATATTGAGAGGAGCGAGAAGCTGTACAAGCCGCATTTTCCTGCTTTTTGTATGGTCCCCCAATGATCCCCTGCGGTAGACCGTCTCCTCAGTCATTTGTCTTCTTCAAAGTTAATGCGAACGTGCCAATGTTGCACTGTTTATCTAAACGAACAGTGCTAAGCATATTTCTGATAGGAACAAATGAGTTGTTAGAAATAGAGTTTCGATAAACCTCAACTTTCGACTGTGGTTGATCGCAAATCTCATCACTTCAAAACATCATTTGTTCTCATCAGAACCATGCTTAGCACTGTTCGTTTAGCTAAACAGTACAACAATGTCACGTTCTCACTAACCAAGAAAGAAAAATGAATTCAAAAAGACGGTCGGCAGCCGGGCATCATAGAAAAAGCTGCAAATGCGCCTTGTACAGCTTCTCAATCTTTTCATTATGTT